GACGAGGTTTGTTTTGCTTCCCCGGAAAGGGGGGGGGGCGCGTGCATCGGGAATTTTTTTGGCATAACACCAAAAGGCTTATCGATTTGAAATGGTTCTTGTGTGCAGAAGATCAGTTGCGTGGTCTTCGTATTTCGTACGCAATTTCTCGCTATTTATCGAGCTAAGTATGTAAATTGACAACTTTTCGAACGATGTCTGATCCGTTGTCAGGAAAAACTCTTTGAAGCACGTGCATTTGGTGCATATCAAATTCAAAGGACAAATTCTTGTAGAAAAACAATCTGCTGTTATCATCCATTGCGAAGCTATCTGTTGCCGTTGATCGCACTTGTAGACCATGCTGGACTGTTTTCAGCACTTCACGAAACCGGCTGCTGTAAATTTAGTCAAACGGATGTGCTGAACGCGTCAGCATAGGCTGACGATCAGACGGTCGGTTTACACACTAAAGCATGACTCAAATTCGTGGATGAAAGCTGGCTTCGACGTATTGCCAAGGCTGCTTTGGCAAACCCTCTGGAAGATGCTCGAATTACTACTGCTTTTCGACAAAGGATCTTGAAAAAAAATCTCTGCGTTTATAGACCGTACTCAATTTTTGATTAAACCGGTCTGGAAAGTGGACAAGAATGCGGATTAGTTTTTCATCTGCGCCAACTAGCGTGCTTTGAGCGCGTCAACGTCAGCTCAGCCACAAAACTTATTTGCACAGCAATTGCGCACCGTCAACGGTAACCTGTAAGCACAAAGTCAGGATCGTAGTTGATAACTGCAAAGTTGACTGTTTGAACAATACCACGGAACAGTTTACTGCTTAGATTGAATAAAAGAAAATAAATTCCCCTGATTAGTTTTAATTAATCCTGAATGCCCCATATTCCGCTTCTTACATCTATTGATTTCAGAGATGGAAAGCCAAGTAGTCGAATGGTTCAAATGAGAAGCTATGGTCCAGATGGGTATCGATTTTTTACGTATAGCAATAGCAGAAAAGGAAAGGAATTGGTACGCATCATTTTCAGGCGAATTTTATATTTCAGCTTATGACAATCATAGGCAGGGAACGAATGTGCATGTATGCTGTTCTACTGGCCAGCAGTGCATAGGCAAGTCATAATTGAAGGTGTGGCTCGAAAACTCCCTAGACAAATTACAGAAGAATTTTGGAAACGGAGACCAGACAATCTCCAAGCTACCGTATGTGCAACCGCTCAGAGTGAAGTGATACCTAATCGTCAAGTAACTCATTTCGTTACATGTCACAGGTCCCATTTGAAGGTCAAAACACTTTCAGGTTCTGGAACGCAAGAAGGCAGAAATTTTGAAGACGTACACAGCTGCAGGTGCACCGATTCCTCTCCCACCGAACTGGTAAAATGAAACATGGTCCAACTAATACATTACGATTAGCATTCAGGGACATGTACATTTTGAAAGCGAAGAAATATGAATTTTGGCAGGGCAAAGAGGATCGAATGAACGATCGATTTCGTTTCAGAAGGCAAAGCGATACAATAAAGCAAGAGGAATCAATAGAAAATTTAGAGGATGCATGGATATGCGAACGACTATCCCCATAATGAACCTTACGTGGCTTCATATCTTCAAACCGTCCTTAACACTAACAGATTCTAACCATGTAGTAAGCAAGAATTTAAGGCCCTTCTATTTAGGTAACGATGAAAAATGTTCATTTAAAATATTTATACAAAAAAATTTTCCATTTGTTGGGAATGAGTTTTAGGCAGAGTCTTCAGCTTATACCCGCCAAATAATAAAACACACTAATATTTCTTTTATTCTTAAAATTAAAATTAAACAAGCTGATACCATGTCAACATTAGATCTAGTTATGCTGAAAAACTTACCCCTTGTAGAGTTATGTTTGAGGTAGCAAATTTAATTCAATTCAGCAAAGCTTGACCATCTGCCTTGTCGAACTCATCATCAAGAATGTTAAGATGGCATAACAGGTCTTATGAAGAATTTAGTGATTTTCAGAGATATCATTTTTATCTTATTGAAAATTTATATCTCGTAAAGAATTCAAATTGAAAAGATTCATTCACAACATTGAACTAGCATGGTGCGAAAACCATCTTACCAGCAAGAAGGTTTGCTTTGTCTCTACAACAGATGCATAACCTTCGTTATTTTGATGCCATAAGTTTCTCTCGTATAACATCTTTCAGTGAAACAAAAAAAATCTATGCAGTCATTACAGACAAAAGATAACTATGAGTATTCCTTTATGTAGCAACTGTTGACTCAGGCATGCTAATATGCAGTAAAATTATTTTATTGAATACACATGCAGAAATAAGAAAGTATATTACTTACATTGGTTTCGCTCGAATTTTGATAGAATTCACCTAATGTCATTATTGCATTTCTCTTAGCTCCGCGACATTTGGTGATGTTTAATCATATAATATTTCAGTTTGTGATAGTTTTAGAAATCCTTGGCTTCCGCTTTGGATATAGTGGACGATCTATCAACTTCGATCGTTCTGTTCCTTGACAGTAATCGATGCGGCCTCTGCTTACAGTTATAAGACTTTCTGAATTCATACTAAATTTCACAAATGGTTTATAGGCAGTCCATTCATTGAAAAGTTTTGTGTATTGTTCATATGCATAGTCAATTAAATAGCTTCACACCAAAACTAACGTACTATTAAAGACCCTATATAGCTCAAATTGGATTAAATCGATCTGTCTGTAAAAATACCTTCTTATACAGCATAAAAATGCTTATACAGTGCTTCAGAACTCGCCATTCGAACTGAGACTGTCACTGACAAAATGTGACCTCGTTGTTTCAAAGTGGCACATTTAGCCATAGCTTTGATGGCAAAGGAGCTTCATATTCCATGGCTGAATCCTGATTAGCACGCATATGGACCTCTCATAATGTATGGACATAGAGTGAAAAAATATTGTGCCAGAAAGAGAAAGGTTGAATTAAATATCCAATTATTTTTCTTATTCGTAGCGGATCCATTCAGGCATCCCGTGAATTTTCCGGCTGCTCGACTAGCAACTATAGAGTTCGAAACGGACAGCAAAACTGACACCCCAGAACTATATCTCTCATGAGATAATCATGACAGTATAAACAAAAAATGTCAAAGTAATTTTTAGATGCCACTTTTCACATTCTTCTGCAGCAGTGGTCAGGTTGTTGGACTTCAGCAGTAAACAGCGTCATACGGTATCGTTTAAGCTTCACGGATAGAAAGTGCGTTTTTATCTGTTTCAACGCTCAACTAGCGTCAGACGCTTCCTTTGACATTCCACGGGTCTGCTGACTTTCCCGTGCTTGAATTGCACCCGGCCATGCCAGTAAAGCGTTGCCTTTCTGAATGACAGACTGTCATTGAGCCAGCGTTGGGTTGTTTGTGTCATTGACTAAAATGAGTCTTTGACAAGAGTCGAAGGTACGAATGGAAAACATAAAAGCAACATGGACACAGAAATGTTCTTGCTCTCATATCAGTGCTTGAAATATGTGGACGACAGCGTTGTTCCTTGAGTAATCGGGAAATCTGAAGACCTCGAACAATACTTGAGTAATATTAAGTAAATTCTAGACTAGTTCAACTCTCACGGATTTATCCTTAACCTGATCATCTGTTAGAGTGTGTTTCTATTCCGCTAAACACGCAGAACCACGAACGGCATGAAGTTGTTGCGGTTTTATGCTAACAAAGGACCGTCGGTTATGAAAATTTTCTTCGAAAGTAAAAACGCTACCTTCTGTAAGGAAGTCTATGCGCAGACCGATGATCGGTTTGATAATTGTATCGTATGACTTACGACATTCGCGAATGTTCTCCTTAAGGGAGGCTCAAAGTTGTCATGGGATCATCACCGTGTTGTAGCCATCATCCATTACAAATGATGCACTAGGATGCAAGGACGCTGTGCCAGAAGGAACTGGAGGATCAAACCTTAAGCAATATCTCCTTCTGATAGGAGATCGCAAATGGCATACCGTATCTAGTTTTAAGCAGCTACTACTTGCTTCGCGGATTAGGTGAAGACACCGTGGAGGGCCAAGAATTTCCTTTAACAAATGTCTCGACGGGCTTTGCTCCGCACTCATTTTGCATTCTGCCCAAATTCAGTCACCGCCGCAGGATCAGAGATATTGAAGCCGCTGCGTGACCCTGCCATCTCTACAATGGAAGGGAAAAGCGGCCCTCGAAACTGACTGACTGATCAAAAGTTTGATTCGATCATCATAGAAGAGACCAAAACAGTCAGACTGAGTGAAATTTTGCTGAGCACGTTTGGGAGAGGGCACGAAATGATGTGACGGTCGAGAAATGGACTACAATGCAACAGTGGAAAATTTTGTAATTCATGTTTTAGTGGAGTGGTGATGGCTAGAGATCAAAAACACACGTACTAAGTACTGAAATCAAACGTCAAAAGGAAGATCACTCAGTAATCAGTTCGATATGCCTTTTTCGATGCAAATAAGGAAAACGAAGTTTCATTTTCCTGTTGAAAGGAGAGGAATGTGAAACGTTGAAATGGTCTCGTCCTTGCACTTTCATGATATGACCATCGCTGCTGTCTTTCATTTCATGAAGTCAATGATGACTAATTAACTTCCATTCTCGCGCCATCAATAAGCAGTGTCTTATTTTAAAGACAGAATCGGCAGTAGTCATGTTGCAGGTATTGCGTGCGGTCTCCTGTTCGCTTCAAACAGAGTAGTAATCATTTACTGATCTTGCAAAGGAAAAAAGTCCAGCGAATTGACTGGATCTGTAGGTTTTGAATCCAACGCTCTGCCGACCGAGCTAGTGCGGTACCTCAGGTAGGAGGTTCAGTCATTTTGCAGGCAATACCATTATCCTTCAGTGTGAGAGGAGTTGTGCATCAGGCCACATAACGAACAACTATATGAATTTTATTGCTAGAAGCTGGTAGCTGGCTGTTGTCGAACATATGCCGCTATCTTGTTCGATACTTAATTCAGTGACAATATTTACAAAGTACGACATCATGTTTTCCTCTACCACTTGTCAATAATGACCCATTGTCGAAATCACTGAAGTTCTTCCATTTTTGATGAACACTGCATTAGTCGTTTTATTCTGCTCTCGGATCGCAACTAACACAGTATTCCATAGAACATGTTATAAATCTAGCAGACCGTACATGCCTCAGCGCAGATATGATGCGCCGGTCAAACGATTTTGGCCGCCACTGCCACTTCATAGATCGAGTTTAAAATATAGTAGTCCACCCATGTTATTAATCACCTTGAAGCGCTATGCACCATGTGTTCATTATCTGTGCATTACTGTAGAAAACATCATGCTGTCATATTCTGTCAATGACATTTGAGATCGTTCCGCTGGACCTTCATTCTTCCAGGGTCGCGTTATCTTCGAACTGCTACATATGTACCTTCGGTGACCACACACTAATATATTTGTGCTGAAGGTATCATAACAAAAACTTTTGATTTAGCAGAGAAAACCATGTTGTCCTTGTTCATAGTCAGATACACTAAGGAGACTCAGATTCAAGCAGCAGTAAATTATTTTCAAATCAGTATCCCGTTATCTCTCTAGCTAAATAACGGAATTTTGTTCTTATATGCGAGTGAACATCTATCTCTTTTAAAAATTCACTGACTTTCACAGGACTTTAAAATGATTTTCACCGCTGCCTGTAACATCACGATCAAATCGTTTATCGGACTTACGTTTCCCGTCCGTGATCCACTGCTTGGCTTTCAATTGAAGAGAAAAATGCATGTCAATTCAGGGTACCTAATAAATGTTTCATCTTCATCTTCATCTTCATCTTCCATCGCCGCTTCTCCTTTCGGGTCGCGGAGGCAGACGCGTC